TAGTGAATCATCAGCTTCTGATCGTGGGAATGGGCATGCATCTTCCTGCAGTACATACGAAGATGATTTCTTGGACAAGTGAGCCTCTTGTATTTTTCAAAGTCAGGTACTTTGAACTTTGGCGAAAACACCACATAAGGAACTAGGCCCATTTCGAGAGCGTCTACTTCGAAAGCATCGAAACCCTCCACAGCTTTTAGTCTTTCCTCTAGAGATTTGTAATGATTCATCACTAATGGATTATCAATAGCATGAGTACCAGTTGTCTTCGAGGGTTCTTGGTTGGCATCCTCTGGGTCGTGGTCTCGGTATTGTAGGTCCAAGTAATTGTCTGCATCATTGGTCAGAATCTGTAGAGTATGAGATGCCCCTGCTTTTGGCGGCGGTGGGACAAACCCTTCAGTTTCAGCTTCTTGTTGGACCATGACGGACTTCTGGAGTCCTGCCTCTGACTCTTTCCTTAGTTGGTGACCGCTTGATGCACCGATAGTCTAGGCTACTTCCTCGAAAGCTACCTTGGGAATTTGGTCTTGCCTGTCAATAATGTTCTTCAATGCCAGCAGAACTTGACTCAAATCTCCTTTAATTGAACTTACATCGCCTTTTACTTGCTCGAGATCCTCTTTGAACGCAGCCTGAGTTTCCTAGATTTTCTCCATTATTTTCTGTTGATAGGCCCTGGTTCGATATGGAAGCCAAGGAAGTGGCGATCTCCTTCTACCAATGGTTCAACTGGAGAGATTTTTTTTGAAAAAATTAGTTTTGATATGATATGCAGGTGTTCGCGAATGCATGCGTGCGAACAGATGTGTATGAACATGAAATGGTTTCTTGTGTTAAATATTCACTTGGGTACATGTTTATCTTTTATTATTTTACTTGGCGACGATCTTTAAAATAGATACGCAGAGGGTGTGTGGAAACAAAACGCCTTTATTGAAAGTAACGTAATTCAGATATTGAAAAATATTACAATCTTAAGCCAAAACTATATTTGCGTGAAATCAGGAAAAAAGGAAATAAGTCTTCTAGGCGTGCCTGCAGATATCTGCTCTTGAAACCATCCACTGTTGCTGGATAAAACTTGAGAAAATCTTCAGCACGTTATTTCCCTTTTGTGGCCTTGATTTTTAGACATGTTCGGCGCACTGACGCGGACAAGTTGTTTCCTTCGATATCTATTTTTTTAAAGACAGTCACCAAGATCTCGATTTTATTTTTTTGTACCCCGTGCATAAGACAGAGAAACGGGTGACGAATATATGATGAATGTATGACGAAAACATGAAATATATGAATGTGTGGGTGTAAGGTTGAGTGGCAGGACTTTTTGTAATAAGTACCCTTATAAGGTAAGTTCCTTAGTTTTTACCTACAATTGATCTACCCTCCAAAAAGGTGGCTTCCTTAAGGGTGTCATGAATAACACCAGAGGGGAAAGGCACAAGGGCCTCCCTTAGGTGGAGCCTCTTTACAGACCGTAACTTTCGTCTCAAAGTCGTGAAAGGTCTCGTCATGAGATTTTAGGTAAAGGTCATTACAAAGAGTCATGGGTGACCTTCCAAAGTCCTACTCGTCAATAGGATATATCTCGATAAGTATTCCTTTTTCAGAAGTTCACCGACTCTAGGCAAAGTCGTCACATAAACTCGCAGGGATGATGTAACCCCTAAGCTAATAGAGGAACCTTCTTTCTAAGGGTTATATTGGAAATATTTTTGAGATAGAAAAAATCCTGCCACGCAGTAAATATATGATGATAAGAGAAATTGACAGTAAATAAATGAGATAAAGTAGATAAATGCAATAAATACATAAATAAAGCAAAAAAAATAGAAACCCAAAAATACCTAAACTTAGGGTTAAGGAGAGTCGCCAGCTGTTGCGACTGGTTTTTAAATCAAGAGTCGTCACAATTAGTTTTTATCCTAGGGAAGAGAATCTAACAGAAAACCCTAATTCGCAGACAAATATTCTAGGTTTCGGACTAAATTAGACGAAAGGAAGGTGTTAGGCACCTTTCATCTACCTTGTTCACAAGGATATTAGGCTCTAGGTTTAGGTTTGGGGTAAACCGGATTTAAGTTTTAATTAGAAAGAATCACCATGATTTTTGATCGTATGCCTACGTATCTCTTATGAGGAATCAGAGTCCCAATTCATAGTTCGTATGGGGTTGGTGTTTTTTAGGGGTTTGCAAACATATTTTGAATCACCTCCCACTTGGTCGGGAGTAGTGATTGTGGAGATTTTGACTGAGTGTACAGTAAGTCAAAACTAGTTTGAAACCCTTTTGCAAAAAACAGTTGATTATCTTAGTTTATTGCGAAAAATAGTTTGATGATTTGTTTGTGTTTTTTAATCGTATTAGTTGCAAAAAATCTTGTTAATGCTTGATTAAAAAATATTTGATGCAAATAATATAAGAAAATAATATGCATTTTGGAATAAAACAATTTAAATGATATAATAAATAATATTAATATTTACACATTGTTGTACCCAAAAATTTTCCCTCTCATATCTCTCAAAACATTGCAAGAAAGATCTCCAAGTTGCTCAAGGTAGTCCAAGGGTTGGCCAGACAAGCTCCCTCCTAAGGCAGTCTACCCCAAATTAGGGTTTCATGTTGCATCAAGATGCTTGAGTCCAAGTGGTCCCAAATTCTCAACATTATCCTAAAATGTTCTCAAGATCATTCATGTCAAGTTTCAAGCCTTGCAGATGAAGTTTGCTCAGTCAATTGCTCAAAGGTCCAAAAATCGACTGTGCTAGGACAAAATTCAAATGTGGCCGACATACAGTCAAACTTCAAGATTTTTTGTCAACATCCTCATTTTTAAGTATATTTCATCATTTGATAAAGGCTTGATCATGATTCATCAAGTATTTCTCATAATTCATCAAGACTCAAAAGTTGCTAAATTAGGGTTTTGCAGGAAAAGTCAACTCAACTTTGACCAAGCATAACTTTCTCATACTTTTTGATAAATGACCCATTCAAATCTCATTTTTAAGAGGATGCAATTACCTATAATCCATATTCATCTCCCAAGTTCAAAATATGCACTCACAAGAAGTTATGAATTTGGACATTATAGGTCATTTTGAAAAGTCAACAAAAACACCTTTTTTGTCAAAGCTTCATACATGAGCATGGAATAACAAAATGATATGAGACTAAAATGGTTGCTTAGAGGACATCTCAAGCTTTCTAAAAAGTCAAAGAATACCTCCAAAGAGTCAAAATTAAGGAAGTTATGCATTGTTGAAGTTGACCTTTTTTGCAAAATTGCCAAAAGTCAACTATGCCAAAAACTTCAAGTTTTACCAAATGGGCCCAATCTTTTTCACTTGTTTTGAGTTGGCAACATAGCCCACGTGCTCTAGCCTTTTCCACTTGTCCATATTTTATTTTTATTATTTATTTTGGTTTTTATTTGAATTAATTCAAATTAAATCAAAACAAATCAAATAAAATCAAAAATATTGAAAACCAAGGATTTTGTGATCATTTCAGGTCTTAAATTACAGATTGCAAGCATTCAAACTCGTGTAAAGGCATATGTGCAAAAAAAGATTGAAAAGAAGCCAAATTTGGAAGGTTTTCAAAGGGAATCAAATCAAATATCTAAAGCATTGAAGAAGGAAGATTTGGACATAATGATCAACCCTAATACATTGTTTGATACATAAGGAGGCGAGGCAGACCTAAAAACGGGTTAGAAGCAGGCGTGAGAGCAAGAACAGAATCTGAAAAAACAAGAAAAAAGTGTGAGATCGAAATCCCACTTAGAGGCATTCTCAAGGCTCGTGACTTATTCCAATCGATTCCTGGCACTTTCAGCAATCTAAAGCAATAAAAAACTAAGCCGTTCTAGTCCTAAATCGCCCTGTAAGTCGCTCACGTTACACCCTTGTTCTTGAATTCAAAACTCACGATTTATGCATTGTTAGGTTGAAATAATTGTACATTCTTGATTACCATAACATTTGTAAACTGTCTACATTATTCAATTTCGTTTATATGGCCTGTAGCGTTAATAACCATTGCTAGGTTTTTGAGCTTGGTTTTAGGGCTTTTGATTTCAGGAACAATTGGCCTTGGTAATGGGTACGATTGTGATCAGGAGGACAAGACGAGTCTAACCATGGTGTTAGATGTTATTTCCATGGCCTGTGAAGGATTTTGAGGAAGCTCAGGCCTGTAGCAACGGACGTCTGTCCGTAGGTATAGGTAAATGAGTTTTTAGCCATGGAGAGAGGAAGGGGACGACTGTGTGTCACTCCCCCATAGGCCTATTCAAATTCCAGCACGCTTTTTTCTTTTGTTTTCCACTAATATTCATTTTCTTATATTCACTACAAGAAAATTAGGATTTTACGACACAAAAATTGCGACAGTTACTTAATAACCGTCGTAATTCTAATATAGGGACCCATGTCACGACGGTATACACCTACCGCCCTAAAATGAATGTTGTGACGGTTAAGAAACCGTCCTAAAATAGACATCACGACGGTAAAACAACCGTCGCCCCCCTAAACCTTTAAAAAACATACAAAAGTTATGAAAGGGCACGACGGTAACCACACCCGTCGTCCCCCTAAATCCTTTACCCCGCTTCGTCTATTACGCTTTACTGCAATTTAAACCCAACTATTTCAAACCCAATAACACCGAACTTCACTCCATCATTTCCTGCATCACCTTCACCCCCCATGTTACTTACCGTGTTCTTTCAGACCCTATTCTCCAACCGCATTCCTGTTTATCCTTTTTCCACTTCCTCAAAACCCATCATTCCAACCATTCACTCAAACCTGACCTGAAGGCCCATTTGATTCTCTTTTCTAGACTCTTTAAAGCTCGCAAATTCGCCACCATCAAGACTATTCTGAATTCCGTTGTTACTGATTCCCAATTTCGCTTCCCAGTTTCGGGGATCGTTGATTTGCTTGATGAATTTGAGTTTCATTTTGTTGACAAGCTTTGTGATATGTTGTTTAGGGTTTGTTCTGATAATAGGTTGTTTCCAGAGGCGGTTAGGGTTTTTGATTATGTGGAGGAAAAGGGGTTCGTGATAGAGGAGAGGTCTTGTTTTGTGCTTTTGCTTGCTTTGAAGAGATTAGATTCTCGAGCTTAGATTCTTACTTCAGAAGCCATTCTCAAGTTCTAACAGGCTACCTGAGGTATTTTCCTACCCCGTTTTTGCGATTTCATGTGATTTGCTATTTTATCGTATCTAATGTCATAGCCAAATATGGTAATTTGTCTCCAGGAATCAGTAAAAGCTTCATTCTGTGAATCGGATGAGACAGTTAGAGTTGCATATGCAGATTTGATAACTTCGTCCAAGGAGACTTTGGATTCTATATTGGAACTGCAAGAGGTGTGTGCTGTGTTAAAACTTGAATGGAAAAAAATTGTTATGTTGTCATTAATATGTTCTATCTTCTCTAATTTTATCAGTCAATGCTTCTCACTATATGTAAAATATTCATTAATCGCAGCATTTTTTCTTGTTCCAGGCTCTGATTGCAAAGAATCCGTCAGTAACCCAAGCTGTTAATGGTGATTTCTTCATGTTCTTTTCCCATTCTCGTTTATTCTAGATTTTTCTTTCTTGTTAAACTTTGTGCTATTGACACCTTGTTATGTTTGATGATTGCGACATATCTTTGTAGTTATTATTGAGGGTCATGTATATATTATTCTCTGTAAGCAGTGGTATTACTAGTACCACAGTTGGTTCATGATATAGTTGTTTGAGGGAATTGAGAACTGGCCAAGTGTTCTTTATTTCTCTAGTTAATTGTAGCTCAAAATATGATAAACTCTATCTATTTTTCCTTTCTATTTTTTGACCGAGTTGGAAACATTGATTTGTGCTGGAGATGAGAGTTCTAATGTGTGACTTATAACTTCCAAAATAACCAACCAAATATTTGTTTCTTTTAAAAGGTTCAGAAAAGTCATCAAAAGAAGTTTCTAATGTTTTGGAAGACAATCTTGACCAAGAGTGGTCACAAATTTCTCGGATGCACAACAGGTATTTTCATAGCATTCTAAGTGCACAATTTTTGTGCTAATTTCTCGTGACATAACAGCATTGATATATAGTTTTGTTTCATAAACCCGATCTTCGTGTCTATTATGCTTAATACTTCTCCAAACAACAGCTTTTGAACTTAAGTTTAGCTGCATTTCTATCTTGAGCACGGGCTGTTCTTCTATTTGCAAGTCTGCTTGGCTGATGCTCTTCATGATTGTATCTTGCAGTATAGCATCTTTCAGAGACAAGTCTATCAACAAATGTCAGAGGATTACGCAAGTGACAACCGGTGTTGCTGCAATTAAAGGCAAACACGCTTTTAATCAGGTGAGGTTCTGTGACTGGAATGCGAATTCAAGTGTGACACCAAATATTTAACTTCTAATTTGTTGTCCATGTTGCAGGATATCAGCAATCAAGTTGCTGGCTATATGAGAGATCCTAGTAGAATGGTCAAGCAGATGCAACTGAGAAAATCAGCTGTTAACGTATTTGGATCCGTAAGTCGGTTTTATCTTAAGTTGGTTCTAAACAGTGAGAAACTGATTTATCTATCTTATTTTGTTGCCGAATCTTATTTTGTGAAGATGTATGCTCCAAGCAAGTTTGTTTTATCACGCAAACCCAATTTACACGCACTTTTCTGTTTAACAGGACATAAGGAACGGCTCGGGAAATCATCGTGCACTATCAAGCACCACACTGTTTCCACAAAGTATTCGAAATTCCACGCCCAAGAGTCAATATAATCGAGGTTCAAGTGCTCCACCAACATCTATCGAAGCGAACGGAAACATACTAAACAAAAATAATGGATCCCATTTTGACGTGGTAAACGGAATCAATAGAAATATGATAAAAGGAAGAGAGATAGATGAAAGACAATACTCAGCAAAACTGAGTGAAATTGACGTATACGAGAGCTCTCGTTACGACGCGCTGTTGCTTAAAGAAGATTTGAAGAATACAAACTGGCTTCATAGTGTGGATGATAAATTTGATCAAGGCTCCTTATTATTTGATAATGGATTCGAGAACCTGCCTGAGCCTTTTGGTCTCTTATAGTATGTGTATCTAAAGAGGTTCTGCTTGAAGCAATTGTAACATGTTATTTATGTTGTAATTCTTATCTCATTTTCTTTTTTAGAAAGATGGGATATTTCAAATTATAAAGCTCAAAGTGGAAAAGAAAGTAAAGATGCATTATATGTTTATATGTTTTCTGCAATTTGCAGAGAAATCAGTGGATTTAAATTCGATCTTATACATATACAAATAATGTAGAAAAATATTTCGTGATATAGGTCCAACTTTAAACAAAAGTCAAGACATAAACAAAAGTCATGGCGACAGTAGCGAACCGTCGTAATCAACAATTAAAAATAATCAACAAAAGTCATGACGGTATCGAACCGTTGCCATAAACAATTTAATCAATTTCAAAAGATATTCACGACAGTATCGAACCGTCGCCATCAATAATTAAAAGAAACTCAAAAGATAGTCACGACGGTATCAACCCGTCGTAAACTTGAACGACAGTTTTTGTAACCGTCGCGAAATAGGTTGGGGACACACACTTCTGCGACGGTAAAGCAACCGTCGTGGAAAGCAAATTGCAACGGTTTTAACCGTCGTGATCTACAAAAATACCTGTCGCAATCTGCCAATTTTCTTGTAGTGATTATTATTATTTTGTAATATGATAACAATCAAAACAAAATAGCGCAGTGGTTGCCAGGTATATGCTTAAGGCGTTAGAGGCTGGAGGTCAGGGGTTCGATCCCTGCCTCCAGCATTTTCTATTTTCATATTTTCTTACAGGTAATCCAATGCGCGTGTGAGCCTAATGTCCACCATATGTCTTCATCATCAACGCGCCAGATGGCCAGATGGCCAGATCTGGTGGTCACCACTGAAGGAACACCATGAGCCAGGGTCAACGCAATACACATGATCAAGAAAGCCAAATGGACTCCAGCACTAATGGGCCCATAAATTGCTATTGGCACACCACTTTCTCAGGCCCAATCTCTATCTCTTTATACTTTATTTCATTTCAATTAGTTATTTTATTTATTTTATTAACCAAAAATTATTTTCTTTTTATAAAAAATCACAAAAAAATATTTTTATGTCCAATTAAAATTAGAATATTTATTTTTAGCAATAAATTAATTAATTTAATTAGGTTTGATTAATTAGACAACTTTAATTTATTTTGCAAATAATTAAAATTAATTAGAATCAATAGGTTTTATTACTAACTTAATTATTTTATTTCTTTCCTAAAATAACAAAAAACCAAAAATATGACATTTAATTATTTATCATTAATTAATTTAATAACCAATTAATTTTGCATTTTAATTCAAGGACTTAATTTCTTTTCTTAGAAAATATTAAAAATAACAAAAAAAAAACATTTTCTTTTAATTAGGATAGAAGGGTCAAAACCCTAGTTTCACATTCGAGCTAATTTTCTCGCGCGCTTTATTTTTATCTAATTATTGTATCTGCTCCCGGTTTGTAATAATTTAATTAGGACATTTATTTATTTTTACCGCTTTTAATTACAAAGGTTTTTTTTTTGGCTATGTAAATACCCGAAGCCTTGTAATAGTTTAGTTTAAATTTCGCATTTTAATTTCTGCAAATATTTAACTGCTAGATATATTAATAATTAGGGTTTGCATGACAAGAATGTATGACCAATTTTAAACAGTTAGATCACCCTAAATATGCAAAGATAAAAAACTGAAATCAATACACTCGCACATGCGCACTCCTAGGGTACACTCCCACTTGGTTGCCTTCGTAAACGGTCATTGAGTATAGGTTGTTTTAGAGGTCGTCCTCTTGTCTAAAAGATCATAAGTTGCCTCAGAAAGGTTGCCTCAGATATTGTCGCCTCGGATAAATGATCTAAGACATTAGGGTTACCGCTAAGACGTCCTAACGTTGCTTTAGTGAATGTATGTCCCTCTTTCAAATTGACTCTTAAACTCCAACGATGGTGCTACCTACTCACTAATAGTGGGATAACATTGTCTAAAGGAAACAAACATAGAACGGTTCCTTTTTCGAGTAGGTAGATTAGTTCTTAAGTACTTGCTCAATCAAAACAAAACTTTTTCACACTTACACTCTTTTACAAACAAGTTTTCAAAAACACTTCATTACACTCTTGAAGACAGACGCAAGAGTTAAATCGAAGTTAAAACAAAAAAATTTCAAAACCCACAAACACAAAGAAAACAATTTTGAAAACAATGAGCAAGTACCTAAGAGCCCGTAGATAACTACGGATAGAAAGGATGCTAATACCTCCCCTTTCTATAATCTACCCTCCGTACTCAAAAATATCTCAAAAAAGGATTTTTTTTTGTGCTTTTTTCCTTTCCTTGTTGGATAAAATAAAAGTCAGTGGCGACTCTTGCTTACCCGACATTTTGCAAAAACAAACGCAAAACGCAAACCAGCATTCCAAAAACAGTCCGGTTCTGGCCACCGTATCACAAAATTGACGACTCTGTTGGGGATTTAATAAGTGGGGTTCACCTTAGGATTAGTTCATATTGTTTTCAATTATTTGATCTATTTCCTTTATCTTTGTGGGTTTGTATCGGAGTTACTATAGATCCTAATCTGGATCTGGGGACACCTTTTAGGTAAGTAGCAAAAGACTGTGAGGGAACTGTACAGCGTAGACCGATACGGTTGAAGCAGTAGCTACGTTGGTGTGACACTTTACTTTGTACCGATATCCCTTGTGGCGGAACAAGGAGAATATGGGGCTGCTAAGGGGTCATTAAGCACCAACTGACCTTAGAACCTATAATTGACCAACTTGGCTATAGAAAAGTAGCAGTATGCTACACTCATTGAGACCAAACTCTCGTGATGATTCCGGCCGCAAGAAAAGGTTGCTAAACTGGAATTATGACTGATCGAGGGTGGTCAGTGATATTGAGATCCTCTAGAACCCGGTTACTATTACTAGGACAGGTTGAACCAACTAAACTGAAAGAGGGTAGTACCTAAAACTCCATGCCAGCCTGAAATTTAAGGGCTACTGTGTGACTTGTTTTCCCTTACCATGTTTGCTATCTATGATACCTGTGGTGTGTTCTTATCATGACATCATGCATCATGACATTGCATGCATATTTCATTGGACTAACCATTTCAAAGACCAATGGGATTCATATTTGTTCTGTTTTTTAGATCATGGCATCTATGCGTAGAAACACTATTCGGATCAGCTTCGTACAGATTCCTGCTCAGCTAAGAGAGTTGGTTTCAAAGGTCCCTGATACTTCTTCTTTTGTCAGAAGACATGGTCACCTCCTCAGCCTGGTTACTTCCAAGTTAGACGAGCAAATGATGAGCGTCTTATTCCAGTTCTTTGATCCATTGCACCACTGCTTCACCTTTCCGGACTATCAGTTGGTCCCTACCTTGGAGGAGTTCTCTGATCTACTCGACATCTCTATTCTAGAGCAGACCCCATTTACAGGTTTGGAGACAGCTCCTAGGCCGGAGGATATTGCTTCAGCCCTCCATCTTACAAGGGTTGATATGGTGTCTAATTGGGAAACTCGGAGTGGGATAAAAGGCTTCTTGGCTAAGTTCTTGGTTGATCAGGCTCATCAGTTCTGGGACAGTTTGGACTTTCAAGTGTTTGAAGACATCCTGGCTCTTCTCATTTATGGCTTGGTTTTGTTCCCTAATTCAGATTCCTTTGTTGATGTGAATGTAGTGAAGATTTTCATGTCCTGTAATCCAGTGCCCACTCTCTTGGGTGATATTCTGCATGCTCTTTATGCCTGTACTGCTCAGAAACGGGGAACTCTCATGTGTTGTGCATCATTGCTGGAGAGGTGGTTTATTTCTCACCTCCCCAAATCTGTTTTGAAGAATGAGGAAGGCATAGGTTGGGCCTACAGAATTATGTCCCTTGCTCACACGGACATCATCTGGAGTACTAAAGACATGGAAGAAGTAGCTATTATTGATCGCTGTGGGGAATACCCCAATGTTCCATTGCTTGGAATTTGAGGAGGGGTCACCTATAATCCTTGTTTGGCCTTACGACAGTTTGGGTGAGCTAGGAGGGACGGACCTCATGAGTTGCTGCTTCCAAACATTGTCTTTGACTTCATAGGAGATGTTAAGGGACATCGCCGCAGATTTATACGAGCCTGGGATAGGGTGAATAGGTCTGATCTGCATGAGCTAGGTATGAAGACTTCTCTCCTAATGCAACAGTATCTCCGGTGGGTTCGAGCCCGCGCTCAAAAGCTAGGGATGCCCTACGAAGCTGTCTTACCTGTGATAGTGGAGCATACTGATGAAGAAGGGGCTCCTTCTACCATTCTCCATCCATACATGCCTACTGACATTGGGGCACTAAAGAGGTCTTGGATCCATCTAAGGGAAGAACGGGATACTTACAGAGAAAAGCATCATGAGCAGGAGCGGAAGATCCTGAAGCTTACAAGGCAGCTGGAGAATGAGAGGGTCCTCAACGACTATGTCAGCACCAAAGGAAAACGACCATGGGAGCGCTGATTATCTTTTATTGCTTTTAGCTTAGACTTACTTTTCAGTATTCCTTTTGTAATGCCTTAAAGGCATTTGTTAAACATTGTTTCAAGTTTTTTATCTAATAAAGTGTGTTTCATTTTGGTTTACGAATTTGAATCTCCAAAGTATTTGAAATCATATCATACGCATTCCATTCCCATGCACCTCATTACAGGTACCCTTACAGGTTTCTCATCTTCTTCGTTGTTTATTTCAGCAATCATGTCTTCTGAAACATCCACTGATCAAGCTATCAAGGCTCTTCAAGCCCAAAACGCTCAATTCCAGGAAATGTTCATGAACTTGGCCAAGGGTCAGCAAGATCTGAAGACTCTTATCTTGAAGGATAAGAAGAAGAAGAAGAAGAAGAAGAAGAAGAAGACGGTCCTTCTGAATATGGGTCACAGGTTCGGGATCAGATTAAGACAGGATGTTGATTTATCTCACTCATCTAGAGGGGGAGAGAATCAAGAAGA